GAAAGAAATTTTGGTGAGTTTAGACGTCTACTAAACAGATTACATCAAGCTAGAATAGACCACATGTCATTTGCTTTACGGACACTTTCCGGATCAAATTTTTTAACGAGTTCAACATAATGGACTACACTCTATACTACAATAAGAGTGAGCTGAATCGAAATGATGGTGTGGTTATATACACAGATATAAACCTAGTTACTACGTCTCAAATAGAGGTCAATCACTTACTCATCAGTTAATATTAAGGCAAATAATAGTGATGATATTATTGGAGGTCACGTGGTTCGCCGGTTACGTCCACCATCCTATCCACAGGTGCATCAGCGCTCTCGTTTACTCACGTTCCCGTTTACAGTTCAGTTATGATTCAACCAATGTACACGATTACCTTTTTATTTTTTCATTCCAATTATTTTGTATTCTTCAGTTTAATAAATCGGTTGTTTAAAATTTAGACGAGTGTTTCATTTCCATTTGTCACCAAACCTCCAACAGGTTATGGGCCAAGGCAAATAAACATGCGGATCTGAATAAACCGAAGAGAATAACCTCAACGTGATCGGTCAACATTCAAGAGAACGGCGGGTCGGTGCTGCAGTCATCTTGTTTTTTCGAGAAGCTTCGAGGTGAAGCAAGAAAGAACAAATGACGCGTTCTTGGACATTGTGAACCCGATCGATAGTGAACAAAAAATATATTGCGAGTGTTTCGGACAATAACACGCGACGCGGTTAAACTTGTTTGTTGTGTGTAACAAAGCGATCGTGAGTGTTTCGACAATAACCCGCGGCACAATTGTAATCACCGGTGTTTCGGACAATAATATACATCGTGATAACTAAAAGTAAGGACATGAGTGCGAACGGTACAGTGCATATTGAGGCCCTAGGCCGAGATAATTACGATAAGTGGAAACTGAGGATCCGCACCGCTTTAGGTAAGAATGGTATGTGGGGTTATGTCAACGGAACTTTGACCAAACCAGATCCGACGAAAAATGAAAATGTCGACGACGTCAACGTACAAGAGTGGTTGACGAACGACGAGAAAGCTCTGTCCAACATCACCCTATCGCTCAGTGACAATCAGTTGATGACAGTAAAGCACTGTAAAACGTCTCGCGAGATGTGGCTCAAGCTGGAAAGCACAAATCAGTCGAAGGAGCCGGCTCGCAAGGCCGCGTTGCTTAAAAGTCTGATGATGCAGAAGATGACAGAAGGTAGTGATGTACGCGGTCATCTTGGCAACTTCTTCGGAAACGTCGACAAGCTATCCGAAATGGACGTCAGACTGGACCCGGATCAACTCACCATCCAACTGCTGTACAGTTTGCCTCCAAGTTTCGAAAGTTTTTGAATCGCAATTGAGAGTCGAGACGAATTGCCAACCGTTGAGAGCCTGCGCACCAAAATAATCGAGGAAAGCGACGCGAGAAATAACGCTTCATCAGTTGTTGATCAAGGTGCCATGTTCGCAAATAGGAAGGGTCCCGGTAAAAAGCATCGACCGAAGCCAGCTCGGAACTCGAACGAGAAGAGCGACAAGGACACCTTTTTCCCTTACAAGTGCTCAAAGTGCGGAATTAAGGGACACAAGGCGGCTAACTGCAAGGGCAAGGGCAAGAAAAACAAGGTAGAAGACGTATCGATGCTCGACAGCGGATGCACTTCTCGCCTGTGTGGCGACGCGACGAGATTCACCGAGCTGGACGAAAGCGAGACGGGACGGCTGAAATTGGCGAGCAGTGCGACGGCGGAGATAAGTGCGAAAGGAACGGCGAGAATTGCGACTAGCGTGGATGGCCAGCAGCGCAAAATTACCCTCAATGAGGTACTGCACGTTCCCGAGACCCACAACAATCTTTTGTCGGTGTCGAAGATCACTGATAACGATTTCTTGGTCGTTTTTGACAAAGAGAAAGCGGAGGTTTTTGATCGAGACGGTGTGACGCACATGATTGCAAATCGCAAGGAGAACCTGTACCTCGTGCAGGCCACCCCCATCGAAGGATGTTAAAACGCAGTATCTGGGGCGGACCGAGACGAGAAGTTGGCGCAACTTTGGTATCGCCGGATGGGTCACGTAAACTTTCGCGACCTCATCGCAGCTACGAGGAGTGGAGACATCCGTGGATTGGAGCTGAAGGGAAATTTGGATGACCTTGTCTGCGACATTTGCACCAAGTGCAAAATGACGCGAAAGTCTTTCCCGAAAGAGTCGCATCGTGTGACTTCAAAACTCGAGGTCATTCACATGGACGTCTGCGGCCCTACGCGCGTTATAGTCTAAGAGCTAGCGCAAAGCTACCTGTATGTATTTGACCAGACCTGGGTTTTTGTGTGTTGAGGCCCCTATACCTACCATACATGAGATGGGGAGTCACTAAGCCCAGAGTGGTGGACGCGGCGGGCGCTCAGGTAAGACAGGTAAAAATTTTTGCCAAATTTTAAATTCATTTGACCACGTCTGCCATTTTGAAATTTGAAAATAGATTATTATTATTATTATCGGAAAATAACATTAGCAGACCATTATCACGCGTTCAACATTCTGGTAGACAGTTATGAAAGTGCTGAAAAAAATAAAATTTTGAAAGTAATTGACCAGATCTGCCATTGATATATTTTATTCATTAGAGTCTCAAAAACTTATTTTTGTCACGGCAGACTTTTTCATTAAGTACAAACTTCAGCAGACAACAAGACTTAGCTACTACATGGTCAGATCTATGCATGTACTATCTCTGTAGCTATCTTTTGTTTTTCCTATATATCACTATTATTCTCACTCTAACCTATAGTATTTTTATTTTATATAGTTACTAGCATTCAAATAGTCTAGGGTTTATACCTGAGAGGGTTCTTTTCGGTTGCCACTCTAACGGTTATTGCCAGATGTTTTCAGTATAGTCGTGAATTCTCATACAGTGACTGTTAGTGTTTTGTGAATGTAATAAAATACATAGTGTTGTTTTATTTATTTTCGTTAATTTGTCATTTATATAATTAATATATTTGATATTATGTCGGGTGACAAAGAAGAAGTGAAGTGTGTTTTTTGTGATACGGTAAAAACTGATAAAGTACTATTATTTTCAGAAGAAACGATATCAAAATGCCGAAAGATTTTGAGGTTACGAAAATTTCATAAATTAAAATATAACGATGTTGTTTTACCGGACGAAATGTATGACTCGGGATATCATAGTAGTTGTTATAAAACATTTACAGCTCTGAAAAGACAATTTTTTTCGACAGATGTTAAAAAAAAGTTCTTCCACAACCCAGTACGTCTTCGTCTGAAATTCAACAGCCATCCACATCATCTGATAATTTAATAATAAGTGATACAGCTGTATATGATCCCCTGGTAAAAGACGTGAGCCTTCCTGAAACAGAAGAAGCAGCTAAAGAAATTGAGGCTGAAGCAGAACAGCCGTTGGAGGAGAGACCATCTGAAGTTTCAGAAGAAGCACCGACTGCTCAAGCTTCCGATCCAGTCGTTTCATCTAACATGAATTTATGTTTTTTTTTGTAACAAAAAAAAAAGCAAAATCGGTCTAAAAATGAGCCATTGCGTACTTCAGATAAGAATCAATTTGAAAAAGGTATATTATCAAACTTTAAGCCAGATACCGAAATCTATAATGAAACTTTGATAAAAATACAAAGTATTCTCTCATCTCACGTATATTATCACGATGTTTGCCGGCTAAATTTCAGAAATCAAAAAAGATCACTGGTAAAAAGTCCTGTCCGTACTTCATGGCACGTTTCCCGAGAAATCCATGAAACAGTTTACAAAGAAATTTGTTACTTAATAGAAGAAAATGTCATAAAGCGAGGACGTTGTTATTTTTTGAGCTATCTACATAAAGAGTATTTCGAAATGTTTAAAGAATTAAGCGGAGGCTCTGACGCATCATCAATATTTACCACGCACTATTTACAAGAAAAAATTCACAAGAAATTTGCAGATAAAGTTCAAATTTTGGCATCGAAAAAAAAAAAAAGGTGTTGCCCCTATAGGCGTTTCAGTAATTGATGAATCACTATTTGCGCACTTAAAAGACCAAGATGTATTGCAAGAAGCCGCAGCCATTTTACGAGCGGAAATTTTGGGCATAAAAAGAAAAAAATTACCCGATCATTTGACTAGTCAACGACTAATAAAAGGTGAATGTACTACACCGCCCATGATTTCTCAATTTTTCTCGTCGATTCTTGGAGGTTATCATCGTAAACAACGGAATTGCGACACTTTTCAACATCATGTATCATCTCTGTCACAGGATATAATATATATGACTCACAATGGAAACATAAAGACCTCAAAACACATCTGTTTGGGCATTACTTTAAAAAGTATTACAAGCAGTCGTAAGGTTGTCGATATAATAAATCGTTACGGTCACTGTATAAGTTATACTGCAATCGAAGAGCTTGAAACAGAAGCAACATTTTCAACAGTTTCACGTACCGAAATATGCCCAGAGATAATTAATAAAGATAAAAACCTGGTGGCAGGTATGGGATATGACAATTATGACCGATTTGTTGAAACAAAGGATGGAAAAGACACTCTTCATGATACAGTTGGAATAATTTATCAAAATATTGATCCCAATCTCGTAAACGACAATGTAGACGAAGAAGAAAAAGAAGAAGAAAATGGAGAAGAACATGCAGGCAGTAGACCTAGAAGACGATCTTTCACAGAAATTGATGTTGAGTTACCACAATGTGCTAAAAAACTCAAGAAAACCAGTAATATTCAAGCTGAAAGTGAGGAAGAGGGTAATATAATCGTACACGGGAGCCTCTACAAGCGGATTGACAATATTTTGGTGCTAAGTCATGCTTTGGGACTGTCAAATACCCCATATGTGGACTGGTTTTAACAGTAGAATAATGATCGATGACACTCCACGACAATTGATTTCATATTTAACTCCGATTAATCACTCACCAACAAACAATGCAGTCGTTTTGGCAACAATGCAACAATGCATGTCTGCCTTACAAGAGTTGAATCAAGAGTACATGCAAGTAACTTATGATTTAGCTATTGCAAAGATTGCACTGCAAATTCAAGCAACCGAAAGTAATACCTTCAATACCTTTATACACTTTTCACATAATGATGTCGTACTTTAAGGCCATCGGAAAAGTTATCAATGATTGCGGCTTATCAACCATCATGGTTGAAAGCGAAATGCTTGCTAGTGGATCTGTTTCAAGTTTCATTGAGGGCAAACATTTTAATCGTTGTAAAAGATTACACCCAATGATGGCTTTAGGACTACAAATAATGCATTTTAGGTCTTTTTTAACACAGAAAAACATTCAAATTTCAGAAGATATCATCGAAGAGATTGACCGATTGCAGAGTTGTCAAGCAGATACTTTTTTTATTCACAATGAAAACTTGAAAGAGCTTTGTAATGATTACGCTATTTACGAACAGTAAACATTAAATGGTGAACATGGTAAAACAGCTCAATTTTATATGACTTACATCAAGCTCGTTGATCATTATTTACAATTGAGCAGGAGCATTCGTATTGGTGACTTTCAATTGTATTTAGACACTTTACCAAAAATAACAAATTTATTTTTTGTATGTAACCATCAAAATTATGCTAAATGGACTGTCCAATACCATTATAATTTAACCAAAGTTCCCACTACTCATCCGGGTTTAGAGCAAGACTTTCAAAAAGGATTTTTTGGAATCAAGCGTACCAGTAAGCCATTCTCAAGACAGCCAATCGATCTTACATTAGAGCAGACTATTAATGCAGATGCTGCAAGAACACTTACTGGTATTACACATCTGACTCATTTGATTTCAGCTCGCCAACGGTGGGCAAGGAGTCACGACATTCGCTCAAGTATAATTACACACGTGTTGGATGAGTTAGGAATTACCAAAAAACAAGATATTTCAGCAGAGTTACAGCCACATAATATTAAGAAAAGTTGTCAACAACTTGAAAAATTTATCAACTCATTTGATCAATATGTGAATCCCTTCAGCTTAGATTTACCGCCAGATCAATTGTTTAACATAAGTTCAGGTAAAGCTGCATCATCTCAAGTCGAAGAATTTCTCTTAAATATCCAAAAAATTGGTGAAGACCTACGAACGTGTTTTATATCTGAATGTGTATCTGATCCAAAAAGATTTGAGAAAGCCATCAAAAAGACACCACTACACAACTTTTCGAGTCAACTTGCAAAGAAAAAGACTGTAAAAATTGGAGGTAAGCAGCAAGAGATCAAGTTACAGCGAGATTTATTCGGGCGTTTGTTGGGAATTTCTATGGACCATCAAATTGATGTTCTCAAAACTTTAGCATATCCAATATCTTCTGTACCTCTGGCTTTATGTCATCTAGATGGTGGTTTTTGTAAAACTGATAAATCTGTTCTTGTAAAATGCCTTGAACCAACTATTGATCAGGAACCACCACTTTCTACAGATATATTCTTAATTGATGGATATTTTATTCTCCATTCTATGAAAGAAGTTCCCAAAACATTTGGGAGTATTTCTAAGAAATTTTTGCAAATGGTATCAAAATATTCCACTCGGAGAATTGATGTAATCTTTGACCAATATTTTTTCCCATCAATAAAAGATAGCGAAAGATGTCTACGTCATGAAGCATCGCTGATTGATTACACAATTTCGGGGCCTGAACAGGTGCGACCATCAGATTTTGCAAAATAATTGAAGAATATTAAATTTAAGAAAGCTCTGGTAGATTTTTTTACGAATCATTGGTGTAGTGAGGAAATGATATCATTTTTGGGTAACCGACAAATTTTTTTAAATTGTCAATCGTATCAAGTTGTTGATGACAAGATTCAATCAAGTGTTGTTGAAAATTTATGTTGCCCTTCACATGAAGAAGCTGATACTAAGATTATCTATCATGCTTGTAGTATCAGTGAGCAGTCGAATATTGTTATTAGAGCCTCTGATACCGATATTTTAATTATAATGATTGGGAATATGAAACAATTACAAAATTCAAATTCTAATATTTGGATGCTCAATGGAACAGGAAACAATGAAAGGTACATTGACGTCACAAAAATTTATAATGAGCTTGGTGAATTATTAGCCAAAAGCTTAATCGGCTTTCATGCGTTCACTGGGTGTGACTTCAATCCGGCTTTCTTTAATAAAGGAAAGAAAAGACCTTTTACTTTGCTGAAAAAAAATGTGGAATTCCAACAAGAATTTGCAACTCTTGGTGAAGAAAATTTAATAGAAGATCAGCTAAACGAAGTGTTTAACACTATTCAGAAGTTTACATGCCAGCTCTACAATGCAAAAAAATCTATTGACGTTGATGATGGAAGGTACCAACTTTTCGTCAGTAATTATAAACCTTCCAACGTTAATGAAAATTTCACCAAGAAAATAGTGAATTTTGATGCAAGCTCAATACCACCGTGTAAGAGTGAGCTTTATCAGCAACTTCGAAGAGCGCATTATATTTCAATTGTTTGGAAAAATGCTTACAAAAAGCAACCCACCACGTTAGATCCATTAGATTATGGTTGGATTGAACAAGAAGACAAATTTGTCTTTAAATGGTTCGAAGGAGATCAACTTCCAACTTCTGTGAGTGACTTAATCTCCAAGATCCCTGGTAAGTTTATAATGATTAACTCTTTACTAAATATTTTTGAAACACTTTACACATTTCTTTTATTCTATAATTTACGTTTTATTTTTACAGAATCCGATTCAATGGATGATGAAGACGAGTCACACAACGCCATACATGACTCCGATTATGATGATGAATGAAGATTTCAAGCAATGGAAGCAAATATACACTTTTTAATGCATGCATAATTTATTTTTTTTAATTATTTTTGTTCATTGTTTCTTAAATAAAAAANACACTATGTATTTTATTACATTCACAAAACACTAACTGTATGAGAATTCACGACTATACTGAAAACATCTGGCAATAACCGTTAGAGTGGCAACCGAAAAGAACCCTCTCAGGTATAAACCCTAGACTATTTGAATGCTAGTAACTATATAAAATAAAAATACTATAGGTTAGAGTGAGAATAATAGTGATATATAGGAAAAACAAAAGATAGCTACAGAGATAGTACATGCATAGATCTGACCATGTAGTAGCTAAGTCTTGTTGTCTGCTGAAGTTTGTACTTAATGAAAAAGTCTGCCGTGACAAAAATAAGTTTTTAAGACTCTAATGAATAAAATATATCAATGGCAGATCTGGTCAATTACTTTCAAAATTTTATTTTTTTCAGCACTTTCATAACTGTCTGCCAGAATGTTGAACGCGTGATAATGGTCTGCCATTGTTATTTTCCGATAATAATAATAATCTATTTTCAAATTTCAAAATGGCAGACGTGGTCAAATGAATTTAAAATTTGCCAAAAATTTTTACCTGTCTTACCTGAGCGCCCGCCGCGTCCACCACTCTGGGCTTAGTGACTCCCCATCTCATGTATGGTAGGTATAGGGGCCTCAACACACAAAAACCCAGGTCTGGTCAAATACATACAGGTAGCTTTGCGCTAGCTCTTAGACTATTTGAGGTGGACGGAGGTGCGGTTCATGAAGTCGAAGGACGAAGCGTTCCAGATGTTTCGCGAGTACAAGGCCCTCGTCGAGAAGCAGCACGGGTTGAAAATAAAATACGTCCGGTCTGACAACGGTCGTGAGTACGCCAACAGGGCATTTAACGACTTCCTGAAGTCTGAGGGCATCCGACGCGAACTCACGACGACGCACACGCCCAAGCAGAACGGTGTATCCGAGAGAAAGAATCGAACTCTCGAGGAGGGAGCTCGATGTCTGATGATGCAATCCGGATTACCTCAATCGTTCTGGGCGGAAGCGATTAACACCGCTAACTATCTCAGGAATCGATACCCAATTAAGAAGCTAAACGGGAAAACACCTTTCGAACTTTGGTACGGCAAGGAGCCGAGCGCATATCACATGCGGGAATTTAGAAGCAAGGTATTTTGCCTCGACAAAGTCCCAAACAACGGGAAGTTCGATCGCCGTTCGAGAGAAGGAGTCCTGGTGGGCTATTATGAGCAGTCAAAGGCGTACCGGATTTGGATTCCTGAAACGAGAACAACAGAGATCACCAGAGATGTCGTTTTCCGAGAGGAAATGGTCGCGCACGACGGTACAGCCGGAGACATTTTTCCGCAAGATCATCGGGATGAGGTTCGTGTTGAACCGAGCAACCATGTTCACGAGTTGGAGTTTGAGTTTATCTCGATAGAAAAAGATCGAGCCGAACGGAGAGTCCTGAAAGATCAACCTGACATCGACGAATTGGAAATACCTGAGGGGTTCCGAGGCTTTCCGCCTGATGAAGTTGACGCTCCGGATCAGGAGATACGACCAGCCAAGAACTAGTAACTCCATCTGCGGAGCGATAAGTAGAGCTAGCTACGAAAGGATGTCGCCTTCGGTTCGGGTGGCAATTCACATGCAGTCTGAAATAACCCTGTTTCTTCCCTCGATACGTAATGTACTATCATTTAGCCTGTTGGACTGATTTTATTATCCAGAGTGGGTGGTTTAATGTTTGTTTGATTTGGTATAAGGAACCTTTTGATTTTAAACTTGTGTTTAAGTCCCTAGTAAAAGCAACTTTGTGGGAAATTTTGATAGTTTAGTGTTGATATTTAGTGTTTTTGTTACAGTTTATTGATTTGTTTTTTGTGTACTAGTTTTAATACACTTTTATTCTATTACGTGTTTTGTTCTAGAGAACAAACAGCTTTCTAAAATCAGATTGACTGAGGAGCCCACCAGCTGTGCTACACTAAAGCAATTTTTTGTATTAGTTCTTTGCTCGGTAAAGTAGCGTCTGAGTTAAAATTACTTTAATTGAGTTCCCTGTTTAGTTTTATGATATTCAAAATTCTATTTTCTTGCTGTATACTGGAGCGAGCACGAGTGTTTTTGTGTGCGATCGGGCACACGTGTGTGTGAACGGCCTACCGATTTGCCGAATAGCCGCGGGCGCTTTTCTTCATGTGCACCGTATTTGTAAATGTGTGTGTCGTACCAGCTTTCTGGGAAAGCAGTTAAACAGTTCAACGAAAAAATTTCAGAAGATTCCCGAAAGTAAATAAAAAAGTATTTAAAGGAAGAGACGATCGCCGACAGAGGAGAAATAAACTGACCGTTGCAGAAATGAATCCAGAAATAAATTGACAGTGAAGTAAATAGCGCAGTAAAAAGTGATATATCAACAGTAGTGTAAATAAATAGAATAACTAATAACCTAAGTTTAGTAACAATTTAATAGTGTTTTTAAGTTCTTTAATAATTAGTGTAAATAAATAGTTTTTGTCGTTATCAGCCTTAGAATTTTGTTAAACCCACGAACATTACAACTGGTGTCAGGTGTGGGGTTGAGTAAAACACATTACAATGGCAAAGGCAAAAAGTTAAGACTCTTCTTAACTTTTTGCCAATTCTCTAATTGGAAGAACGGGATGAAGCGACAAGCAGTAACAAAGAGGAACTTCAGTGGCGGCTCGCGGACGCGTTGAAAAAGGATGGCCATGACCCTGAAACGTTCCTTTTCGAAGACGAATGATCGCAAACGATGAAAAGTTTGGAAAGCAAATAAGAAGAAGGCAATTTACTAAATTTCAGTAACAATTCAGAATGCCGATGTCTTCGAGACTGACAAAAACGGTTGGGGAAGGACCAATATCGTAAAACATAAGATCAATACAGGGAATGCGCAGCCTATTCGTCAAAGACTTAGACGATCGCCCTTGGCCAAGAAGGAAGAAGCAGAGCGAAAAATCCACGAAATGCGGGAGATCGGCACAATTGAGCCATCATCAAGTCCGTGAATATCACCGGTAGTATTAGTAAAGAGGAAGGATGGGACAATCCGTTTTTGTGTGGATTACCGACAGCTCAACAACGTAACCAAAAAAGACAGTTTATCGCCTACCACGGATTGATGACACATTGGATATGCTTTCTGGCTCAAAAACATTTTCCACACTCGATTTGAAGAGCGAAAGCTGGTAAGTTACTTTAGATGCTGCAGACAAAGAAAAGACCGCATTATCGATCGGCACGGGCCTTTGGCAATTTACAGTTGAGCCTTTCGGGGTATGCAATGACCCGGTGACGTTGGAAAGGTTTATGGAGAAAATTTTGAGTGATCAAATTGGAAAGACCTGCTTGGTATACTTGGATAACATCATAGTGATTGGAAGCACCTTTAATGAACACCTGCAGAATTTGCAAGCGGTATTCCAGCGGTTACGTGAGGCCAGTTTGCAACTCAGTCCGAAAAAGTGCTACCTTTTCCGCGAAGAAGTTTCTTACCTGGAACATGTTGTATCAGGGAAGGACGTGGCCGTGGATCTGGAGAAGATAAAGGCTGTAAAGGAATGGTCAGTGCCTGAAAATGTCCACGACGTAAGAGGCTTCTTGGGATTGTGCACGTATTATCGTCGCTATGTTTATGGATTCGCCAATATCGGCAAACCTTTGACCCGTTTAACCGAAAGTGACCGCAAAAAAATCGGCAATTTTAACAAGACCTTATCAAAAACCGAAAGAAACTACTGTGTCACTAAGCGAGAGATGCTGGCTGTCCTCACAGGTGTAGAATATTTTTATAAATACCTATATGGACGAAAATTGACCCTACGCACCGATCATGCAGCTTCAAAGTGGCTTCTGAATTTCAAGAATCCGGAGGGCCAGGTAGCTTGATGGATTGAGAAGCTACAGGAATATGATTTTGACGTATAGCACCGGCCTAGAACCGGACACAAGAAAGCCGATGCTCTTTCCAGAAGATTTTGTCAAACAGACTGCAAGCAGTGTGATCGAATGGAAAAGAATGAAGAGGCAATTCTACGCGTCACGGTAATCGATGACGAGTGGTTACCTGACAATATAAAACATGACTAAGAACACGACCCGGACTTGAAGAAGATGATGGAATGGAAAAGAGACGGAAAACGGCCAACGTGACAGCAAATTTCCTCCTGTACCCAAGTACTAAAATCGTTATGGGGTCAGTGGGACTCAATGGTTTTGGAAGATGGCACCCTGAAGAGTGTTGTTGAAAGTCCAGATGGAGAGGAAGGTAGGAAGCAACTGTTTATTCGTTGAAACAAGGTTAGAGAGGTGTTGCAGTATCTTCATGATGGATCATCTGGTGGCCATTTTAGAGTGAATAAGATGCTTGGGAAAGTTCGAGAGCAATTGTATTGGGTGAACTGTAAGGAACATGTTAAGAACTGGTGTAAGAAGTGTACCACCTGTGCCGCGAGTAATGGACCACAGAAAAGGCCAAGGGCGCCAATGCGTCAATACAACGTCGGTGGACCCTTCCAACGAATCGCAATCGCTGTGGCAAGTCCGAGAAAGACAACAAGCACATCGTAGTCGTTATGGACTATTTTACCAAGTGGGTTGAAGCCTATGTCCTTCCGAACCAGGAGTAGGAAATCATAGTTGAGGAGCTGGTGGAGGAGTTAATCAATCGTTTTGGGGTGCCCTTGGAGTTGCACTCCGACCAAAGGAGAAATTTCAAATTCCGTGGAATATGCGAGCTCCTAAAATTAAAGAAAACTCGAACTACTCCACTCCATCCACAATCGGACGGCATGGTTGAGCGAATGAACAGGACCTTCATTAAATATCTCTCGAAGGTAGTGTCTGATCACCAAAGGGACTAGGACCGCTATTGCCCTTTTTTAATGGCATACCGTTCATCTGTCCACGAAACCACTGGTCAAACACATGCCAGTGTCCTTTATG